GTTACTCAGCTGCGTCACATAGGTGTATCGTTGCATCGTTTATCATCCTCTTCGCATCATTTTGCAGCCTGATTACATCTGTTCAGGGAGTGAGATATGTGGCGGTAGGAATAGCTCACAGCTATCCGTGATTTTACGAAATCTTCTCTAAAGGAACAAAGCTAAGAAAAACGTGGATGGTGACTGTTTTTCTGATAAAAAATGGGATGTGAGAAATTATGTTGTTTTGCAGTACCAAACTTGAAAATGAATGAACAACTTTTCAATCATCTGAGAAAGCCCACTGGCAAATCGAGGTGGGAACTAAAGTGGTAATACCCAAAGTGAGCTCAAAATACTGAGGTTCTTTCAATCTGTTGTTACATAAGAATTATGGATGTTTTCATTAACCTGTGTGATGAATTTCGTCGTCGGTCAATGAAGTGTGAAATAAAAATATTGTAAGCATTGGGCAGCTAGTCTTACCCGGTTGGGTTTCATCAGCAGCGTGAATCCAAGTGCTGGGGTGCGCGGTCCGTGACGCTTCTTTGAACTCACAAACATTGGTAATGCCAAGGCGTGTATCGAATACCCAGTGGTCAAGGGATTACGATGCTTGCGTTTTACCTGTGAGGTATTAGATTCGATCCCCAATTGGGTTGATGGATCAGTCCTGTCAATTAGATGTGAAGGATCAAATGATGGAACCAAAAACTATAGATGAACTTAAATCTTTATTTCAATATTCAACTTATTTCGACCAGAACCTAGATGGGTGGAAGATGTTTGAAGAAACTACTGGTAAGCTGTGTATTGATCAATGCAACCGAAGAGTCGCGCACTACATGGCCCCTTACGGGCGCAGTTTCCCTTCCAGTTGCAACTTCGCTTCTAAGAAGTTTCTTGCTTGCTTGCTTGATTAAACAGTTGGAATAAAATTACCAGCCGCTTCCTCGAGCACAATGCACAACATTATTCATCACCTTTTGCTTGTAAGAGCAATTACACTGCTTTGTTGGTCAACGATCTTTAAATTCAAATACATTGTTATGTACAACCACTTACAGACATTGTGCATGATTTCGTGTTCCCATTAAATATTATCTGCCTCTTTTGAGTATGATAAACATTGTCAAAATACACTACAACCAGTCTGATTCCGGGCGATCCATGCTGCTTCACTGTTATAAATGTCTTCACTCTTGTTCACTTGGGAGAACGTCACTCATCAATATGAGGGCAACCGTGGGTCGAAAAATACACCTAGCCCGAATTAATACCCATGAAGCTCCCGGTACAAAGCTATCGTCCTTTGCAGAATCATGGATAACTATGCGTTATTCTTATCATCACGTCTCTCACACACACTGACATATTATTCTCCATTTTACGAAATGATGGTGATGGGAAATGATCCGACACGAGTAAGAATCTATACGACAACACAGCCAAAATTGGAGAAGTGGTAGATGACAGGTTGTTGCCACTACCATTATGAATACCATGAAATAGTGAATCCGGGAATTACAGAGTAAAATGCAATTTCTGTTGGTTGGTGAATGAGTTCAAATTTGATCTTGCTGTTCAAGTGAAATAGTACTAATACTTGCATTGGACACTTGTACCTTTAAACGTCTAAGATAGTAAACAATGGCATTTGATTGAAACAAATCGGTGTTATTGAAATGAACCTCAATCTCAATGGAATTTTCTCAATGGGCTATTTAGGGCCTTGACTGAACCCACTCATTCAATGATTCATTCCAACATTCATGTCTGAGCACAGGGACTGATTTATCGATCAATCTTGACGTAATTCGCTTCCTTACTCTACCGACTGAGGGCAGTTACCGCCGGGTTCATTCATTCTGTTTGAGTACTTACAGTATGGATTATCACGCTGTGTTGTGTCTATACATCTTCGATTGTATGTACTATATTGTCCTGATGAAAAGTACCGAAGAAAACAGATCTTTTTTGCGACTTTCAGACTTCTCATTCATTTTTGTCTAAAGCTCAATCGATCAATGTTACACGGCATAACGCTCCAGGGTGGTAGTGGTGATGGGGCCAACCCCAACATCACCCTACTAAAATTTTAATCCTCGATTGGTAGTTCAATCAAAAAGTTTTTTTATTTGACGATGGATACGGTTTTAATAGACCCGGTCCCAACGGTGGCGTGTGACAGCTGAAGCTTCAATCGTTTTTTGAGGTTCTTAACAGAATGCAATCGGTTGGATTTATAGAAAGTTACAACCGTCTCGTTTAAAGTTTAAGGATTTAGTATCCTTCACGTAAATACTCATAATACGTTTCCAACATCGTAATACATTCTGTACTAATGCGATTGAAGAACTTTGCACGTTATGCTGAACATTTAGTGCAATTCAGAAAGGCTAGTGAAAGCACAGTGTTGTTGAGCAGAAGTTTGTGTATTACTCAGCGTTTCGGCCACCTCGGGTGGTCCTTGACTGGAGAATACCCATCCATGAGTACTCAATATCTGTGATTACAGAACAAGGAGCAACTCCGGTCATCGTAAAAAGTCAACTTATCCCTCAATGGCGTGAAACGGCTTATGTATGCGTGCGTGTGTTTGGGTGGGTAAGATGATGAGCACGTCTAGGACCGATTTTCAGTGGGCAGCCGTCGTCCTTCGGTCGCATTCACCAGGCTCGGCAATGTTTGACTATCGTTCCGATTCACACAGTCGAGTTTAGAATGATTTGAAGCTAACTCGACGAATAGGCAAACCTGTACAGAGTACTCGCGTTCGGCTAATCGGCACTTTAACTATCTAATTGTTGTTCGTATATAGCGTGTCACACAATTCCCGCAGTTGTTTTCATAAACCCAAGCAGTAACATCTTGTGTGGATACCGAATCATATGGTTCCTTGATTTCAAACGAATGACAGGAGCTGCGGCTTAAATATCTTCAGTAATCTGTTGATTTGCGATAAATTGTGATATCGAACTCATTGCATTCATTCACCTTCCCAATACAGTGACGGAACCTAGGAGAACGATAGTCTGATCCGGTTTCTAGATTGAATTTTGCGTTTGAATATCGGTGGTTCAGATAACGTAAGATTGCACACAAAACCCACGATTCATGATAACAAATGTGCCAACCAAATAGTGCCACCGAATCCTAGTGGGTCGAGAATATTCCTGAGGATTATGTTTTAAGATTTGCTAAGTAAATATTGGCTATGATGCGAACTATGGGAGGACTCATATATCGTTTCACGCCATTCAGTAACATATTGACGTTCCACGATGATCTGAGTTGTTCTTTGTTCGTTGTCACATTGATGCTGATTACCTGCCGATTGGCATTCTCCAGACAAGAATCACCCGAGGTGGCCGAAACGTTGAGCAATGACGTTTGTTCAACGTTGTGCTATTCTCAAGGTTTTCTTAATAATAAAATTTCATATGTTTGATGTATTTCATTGAAGTTACTATCACTTAGTAAAAAGAACCGTAAAAAGTGACCATCAGGCACCATAGTGGTGGGAACGAAGCTCTCCCCCCCCCCTGGGCAATGTGAATTCGGCGAAAACCACTTTAACTAGAATGTTTATATACACACTAAACGGGGGCGAATATGAATGACATATTTTTATGACCGTGTTTCCTAACTCCTCACCTACACCTTCATTATTTTCAGCTCACTGTATTGTGGTTCTTTGTATGAAACAGTGAAATTTTCTCAGTAAACACCGAATAAGATGCAACGGAACCCTCAATCCATTTGTAGTGACCTCTCCCCAAATTGGAAATTTAGGATTCTATATGTTGTTTCCATTTGATCATAAATATGCAGATAAATGAATTGAACACTTCATGGGCACGTGTTTTCAATACGTGCCTAAATATTTTGAAAAAAATTAAACACATCGTTTAAATGCAAAGTGATGTAATCACAAAATACTAATTAGCGAGAATACCTTTAATTAACTGACTATTTTGTGATGTATTCAATACAATAGGATGTTGAATAGCTTGAATCAGTGGTTCCTTCTTTATCCAATTCACTAAAAAAGAGAGAAGACAAATACTTCTTTATGTTTACATTTATTTTTATCTCCATAGACTCACAAAGTAGAGCAATCGAGTACTCATATAAGAAAGTTTTGATAACTCAGTGACTTAACGGACAACAGTCAGGGGAGGGGAAATCTGTTCCTGAATCAGTCACATAGTAATTTGACTGACTGCGTTAGAAACTTTTGTGCACACAAAATTGGGTTACGTAGCTTGATTAAAATCGTTTCGCTGACGGCTAAGAGCCTGAGATTCACATTGCGTAACAACGGTTTGAACGTCAAAAGTACGTCAGTGATGTGTCCAGTTGTCGTGAGATGCTTTGCGACCATGGATTTCTCTTACCATATTTACCTCTAAGATGATAATGCGTCATTGGCTGCAGTAACCATTTGGGAATGTGTTCGGACGTAAGTTGGAAATACCGTCCTCCTTGCACATTTTTAACGGTACATCCTGAGTGCATAAATTATCATGATTGTGATTACAATTATTATCATTATTACTATTATTAAACGGAACATTTGATATTTGAGATCATCCACTATTCAGGACTGGCAGCGGAACAGTTGTTCACTTGAACACATACCAGCAAATGAGCAATGTAATTCGGAGTTAGGAGTTTCAGTCATCACTCAGACGGTTCGTTTTCATGAGTATGGGAGATGGGGGTGGGACGTAAAATTACTCATTGCTGACGAGTCCCAACGAANCGCCCATCTCTCTTTTCGACCATTACAAAAAAGGCATGAAAAGGTGTTGATAATGATTGATCTCCCCAGGAATGGGATCTAATCAGAACAGTAATACACATATCCCGATGTCTGTTAATTCACATTGAACATACACAAACGCATTTAGTTCACTACCCATACCAATACTCGGTATATTTTACACCCACAGTCTCACACATGTCTGATTAATCTTTATAATTTATCACATATCTGAGCTCATTCTCTTGTAACTATGCTTTCGTCTTATTTTTCTGCCACCCGCGCGACACACTACAATTTTCGGAAAAACTCACAGCGAAGTAGTTCTGCCAGTCCGCGTGCGGCTTCGAGACACACTCCGACCGATCGATACACACCCAGGTAAGTGCTTGCGAACTGGAAAACCACGTAACCTGATCCCTGTCATATCAGTGCTCATTTCACAGAAATCCTTGACTCCAGCTACTCGCATCAGATTATCGGACCAACTGTCTATTCTGGTGAGAATTCGGGACATTCGAGTCCTCGGTCACGTAGCACAATGACGATGCTATTCAGCGGCAAACGATCGCCGACCACCACAAAACGATCACCATCAAGGACCAGGTAGGTTCATTCACATCCGATCGGCCAGGGTGACATTGGCCCAAAATTTGACAGCATGACATTATTCTGGGTTGAATTGTGAGAACGCATGCAGGTATGCGTAATTCTAGGCGTGCGATGAGCGACTGAATGATAACAGCTCTATCCACAAAGCAATTGAAGTGAATTCAAAAATTAAGAGAAACTTTGGTTCGACAATAGAGTGGATGATTTGGATTAATGCTGTTAATCCTAATTATAATAAATGATAAAAAAAAAGTTTACATACAAACCTATGCACCGGTATTTCTGGAAAAATACACCATCAACCTTATGCAACCTGCAGTTTATTCAATTCATGGACGGAAATATTTTGGGGAGAAAACCAGGTTAGGAGGGGATTCAAAATACATGATCCATTATATGCTAGTTTCATTTCGCTTACTTATTATGTATGGCATTCGGAAACATGTGAAAATAGATAAAAATTACAGTCATTGTTAGCAATTTATTTGACATTAGAGATAGCACCGATCACCAAGAATGCCATATTTGTTTGATTTTTTCCCAAATCACAAATAGGTTTTAGACAAAGTCAAAGTCAACGTTTTATTATGGGCGATTTAACAAAGCTAAAGCTTATCATGCCCCATAGGATTTTTACATAATGTTTTGAACAACTTCGCAAAGAGAAAATAACAATGATAATAATGTGCGTGATCACACACGGATGTTGAAATTTTAAGTGTTCCAATGTTTTATGAAGTTGCGATTTAAATAGTTCAATTTTAGGAGCATACTACATCAGATGAGAGAGAATTCCATGCGCCTCACACTCTGACTGCAAACAAGTGATACCAGCAACCAAGGTGGCTGTTCTGGGTCTTCACCTTTAGCAGATGTCCCCTGAGATTATCATTATGAGTTAAAGTCAGTAGAGAACGGCAAGAGTAGTTGGGTTGATGCAGTATGTCCTATGCCAATATTAGGTCCGGTCGAAGTCGGCGGTATTGGGATGAGTAGAGTCCCGATAATTGCAGACTTTCGGAGTATGTGTTGTTATATATAGACCTTTTACCAATTTCGTTGCCAGCCTTTACGGACGTTCTAGAGACTTCCTGTGTGTGGCCGAAAGAACGCTGATAACAAGCGTGGGAACAGTGCTCTTTCGAACTGCCGGAAAACACGTCTGAGTAGTCCAACTTGCTTTAGAGTCATAGATGATGCTCTGGCACATTGCGTGGAAAATCCTATGTCCTCCTGTACCATAACTCTCAAATCCCTTTCATCAGTGACATGCGTTAGTATTTGGTTCCCCAGAACGTATGAGAGACGAGTCTTATGCCGCATGGAGATAACTCGGCATTTAGAAACGTTGAACTCGATGTCGTTGGCGATTGACCATCGATGGGCTGCGTCGATCGTTTGTTGGAGTGCAATATGATCCTCAGGATGTGTTACAGTTCTCCAGATCTTAGCGTCATCTGCAAATGACAGTGTATTAGGCCCAAGGACATGTGGCAGGTCGTTTATAAGTGCAAG